CTTGACTCTTACATGACTGGCTGTGGTTCAAGTCCCAGATTCAGAGGCTTGAAACTCTCCCTGGGCCTGTGTGTGTACCCAAAATCCCAAAAGAAGAATGGAGGAGAAGGGATTGTGGCATGGCCATCCCCCCTGGGAGGGGGCTGATTTCTCTCTTTCTGTCTCTTTATCTTTTCTTACTTCTCTCCAGTGAGCATATGTACCCCATAGCAAAAATCTCTCAAAAAAACAACAAAAAAGAAAAAAAAAGAAAAGAAAGAAAAAAGAAAAGAAAGAGGGACCAGCAGATGATGTAATGGTTATGTCTCTGGACTCCCATGTAGTTGACCGAGGTTCGAGTCCCGGACCCAATGACTTGAAATTCACACCAAGTGCGTGTGCATGCGTGCCCAAAATCCTGAGAGGAGAATGGAGGAGAAGGGATTGCAGCTGGGCCATCTTCTCTGGGGGGGATGATTTCTCATTTTCTGTCTCTCTGTCTCTCCAGTAAGAGCATGTGCAAAAATCTCTCTTAAAAAAAGAAAGAAAAAAGCCCTGGGGGGCTTGGTGGGTGGATGTTTTTTCCACAGGCCAAGCTGTAGAGCAGGTACCCCTTCCCTTTTTGTTTTGACCCCTTCAGCTCTGGTACTTGGAACACCTCTCTTGCTGCTCCAACCTCAGCTCTAGCCATGTCACTTGAGCTCCCAAACCAGGAAAGATGAACTTGGGTAGGCCCTGGGCTTGGTTACTTCAAACTTCATGATTAATTTTGCTTGGGATGCCCTCAACACCCTCGAAGAGCTCTGAAGAAAAGGGGCAGCATCACCCAGGGCTTGGGATACACTGTTTAGAGCCAGCTTGAGGAAAAGAGCTATTGGAGCCTGCTGTGGCTAGACAAGTGGGGGACTCCCATGAGCTGGGCCACTGTCTGTGGCCACGTTTTCAGCCATCGCAGCCCCTCCCTGCTCCATCCACCCCTCCTCCCAGTCCCAGGTGACTCCAGCTTTCCTGATTCCATTCCCCTGGCAACAGATCTGTGTCACACTGACATGCGCTCCTCTCACTGCAATGCTGGATGGCCATCAGCATGCAGCCAGATGTCCCTGCCACATACCAACCTCACTCTGGTCCAGGATTCTTGACCGGTGCAGTGGGGTGGGGTGGGGGTCGGGGATGGAGGGGCATAGTGATGCTAGGAGCTGAGGGAGAAGGGAGAAGGTGGCCTCTCATCCAAGCACCTCTCTCTGCACAGCCCGGTCTAATGGTGCCTCCCAGTCCAAGGGAACAGAATAGAGCTCAGTCCTGGAGTGCAGACTTGCTAGGTGACCCCAGACAGCAGCAGTGGCCCGTATGGGCCTAGGACCCTCAACATACAGTACATACTGTATTTGCGAGGGGACACTTCTACCAGTGTACATGGAACTCTCTCTTGAGGGTTCAGACACTGCCGGTCACTATTTCACTACCAGCATATCTTTGGAAATTTTTCTATATGAATTTTCTTTTTAAAGAATTATTATATTTATTTATTATTATTCTTTTTTAATTTGACCAGAGAGAGACAGAGGAAGAGAGGGGGAAAGTGAAAAAGTAAGCTGCCAGGTCTGAGACTTGAAGCACAGTTGGCTATATGGGAGCCCAGTGCCTTAACCACTACTCTACCTGCCAGCCCCACTATATGAATTTTTAGGAGAGGTTTTCAGGTGACCCTTACCAAGCACAAATCCCACAAAATTCTCTTACCTCATTCCTCAGATGCAGACATCAATTTTACCTTGTGCCTTTTCATTCACAAATGTGTACTGGATCCCTCCCTTGCTTCACCTCTTTTTTTTTCCCTAAGAATTATTTTATTTAACTTGATTGATTGATTGATTCATTGATTTGTATTTGACCATAGAGGGACAGAGTGAGAGAGAGAGAGAGAGAGGGAAAGTGAGAAAGCAAGCCTCCAGGTCCAGGACCCGAACTGCAGTTGGCTATGTGGGAGTCCAGTGCCCTTAACTACCATGACACCTGCTGGCCCTTCCACCTCTTTTTAATTTTTTTTTTTTAAGAATCATTTTATTTAACTTTTTAAAAGAACCATTTTATTTAAATTTGACCAGAGAGAGAGAGAAAGTAAAAAAGCAAGCCACCAGGTCTGGGACTTGAACTAGGGTCGGCTACACGGGAGTCTAGCACCCTGAACCACCATGCTACCTGCAGGCTCCTCTGTCTCTCTTTTGTGGGGTAGAGAGTGATTAAAGGTGTTTCTACTATTTAACCCCTATGGCTAGCCACATCCCACCTGTCTCTCAACAACTCTCTTATCTGCACCATTTTATTATTCCCAAAATGGGGCAGGAAGGTTGGAGCTGGCTTTCCAGCACTGGGAAGATCCAGTGAGAAACAAGACCAGGTAGGCATGGAGTGGGCCCAAAGGGATCCGTCAGCTCAGGGGTCCATTCCTTGCATATTGACTCAGATGACTTTATAATCAAGAAATGGCCTTCAAGAAAAGGGATTCTGAAGAGGGAACTGGTGACTTATTTAAAGAGGAAAGGTTGGAGTCAGAGTCCCTAGTGGGGACAGGTGGTATTGCAATGAGGCCCCGTGGAAGACAGAAGCACTCACCTCCCAGTCTGCCAAGAATTCAACAGGTCGGCTGTGAGGTCCTTCAGGGCAGGAGCATGTCCTGCATTTCTGGGCCCCCCAGTACCTCTAGGGGTAGGGTACTTGAAAAGGGCTTAGTCAGTATCACCTGGGCAAACCAACTCCTGGGGCAGTGCCAGGTGGGCTGGTCCCTCTGCCACACCCCACCTTCCAGGTACCACCTCTTATGAGCCAAGCACTTTGCTGGGTACAGGGGATATGAAGATGGCACCTGTGCAAGAGTTCAAAGTGCACTGAGGAGATGAGGAATCCTTTCCAAGCAGGAGTTGTGACAACAGTATGTGCAGGCCAATGGAAGAGCATTGAGAGGGTCGGAGATATAGAGAAAGCCCCCTGGAAAAAAATATCCATGGTAAGAAAAAAAAAGGTGAGAAAAGGGATTCTAGTACTGAGGACAGCATGTGAAAAGGCCCGGAGGCCAGAAAGGGCAGAGCGTGTGGGAAAACTGCTAGTGTTAAAGTGGCAGGCTGCAGCATGGATGTTGCAGAGTGTGACTTGAGACCCCACGATGAGGCTGGTCTGATCAGATTTACCATGTTGGGAGAGGTGGGGCACACTGGACAGGGAAGGGGGCAGGGATGAGGATGAAGTAGGAATTTCAGACTGGGCCAAATGTTGGCCTTAAGCAATAATGGTGGTGATAGAGAGAAGGGGAATATTTCATGTTGGAAGGAATTCAGATTGCAAAGATTTGGGGGTTTATTCTTGCAACAGCTGGATCCTGAGAGGAGAACAGTAGGTTTGGGGAGAAGAATCCAGAAAGATCAAACCAGTGCTATTAAATAGAACTTTGGGCAGTGATAGAAGTGTTTTGTGAGTGTGGTCCTACAGAGTAGCCATTGACCACAGATGCTTGTTAAGTACTTGAAATGTAGCTAGTGCAACTGAGAAACTGAAATTTTAGTTTTCATTCAAATTAGCAATTTAATTCATTTAAATCGAGTTGTATGTGGTTAGTAACCATGATATTACTCACTGCAGAGCCTGGAGCTAAGGGAATAAAGCTGGGCTCCTCATCATTGAGAAGGCACTTGAAGCCACTAGGGGTGAATTTGGTTGGGGAGATGGGTTTGAGGGACTTGAACTAAATGGGGCTCACAGTCCCTCCAGTTTCTTCCTCTGCCCTGATGCCCACTGCAGCTGTTCTGGCTCTCTTTCCCAAGCTCAAGATACTTTGACATCATGCTATGCAGAAATCTCACCTGAAGAAAAATCCTAATTACAGGAAAAGTATTACACACAGGGAAGTGTAGCAGCAAAAAATAAAAGCATGTTTATTCCGTAAGAGAGAGGTACTCCCAATATTAAATATACTCATAATATAGTATATTTATTTCTTCTAAAACAGAGAACAGGGTTGTCATGCTGCAGTCCACCCTCAGTCTTGGCCGTCCTGAATCATAGGCACACATGCATGCTCAGGGAAGTCCTGGGACTTGAATCAAGACGTTTCCTATGGGGGTCCAGTTGCATTACCCTTGCACAATCACCTAGACCCATAGGCAAGTATGAAGGGCATGTGAATTAAGATCTACCTGTTTGAAGGATTATCCTGCAATTATTGAAATCACTATTAGTGAGCCTATAGACATACATTCCATATGTTGTCATGTGAACATAAAGTAACTCAGATTGTATGCAGAGTGTGATTATAACTACATAAAAACAATGCTGCACATGAAAAAGAGACATGAGGACAACCACATGATAGCAGCTATTGTCTTTGGGAGGTGGCATAATATTCTAACTTTAGCCTGCGTATGTCTTTTTTTTTTTAATTATTTATTTGGGATCAGCAGATGGTGTAATGGCTACGTTGCTGGACTCCCATGTAGTTGACCGTGGTTTGAATCCCGAACCTGGTGGCTTAAACTCATGCCGGGCGCGTGTGTGTGTGTGTGTGTGTGCCCAAGAGGAGAATGGAGGAGAAGTGATTGTGGCATGGCCATCCCCTCTGGGGGGTGACTTCTCGTTTTCTGTCTCTTTGTCTCTGTCTTTCTGGCAAGCACACACACCCTATAGCAAAAAAAAAAAAAAAAAAAAAAAACAAAAAAAAAAAACCTCTCCAAAAAAAGAAAAGAAAAGAAAAGAAAAGAAAAGAACAGAACAGAAAAGGAGAACTGGCTTCTCCTCCATTCAGAGAGAAAGCAAACGTCTCTTGCACTGGCCACTCTTGCTTCCTCCTTCTGCCTTTCCTTGTATCTCCCTTCCTCCCTTTCCTTTGGAAGTCACTAGTGAGAGAGAACTAGAGGTCTGAGAGACAGGCATGGGAGGGTTCTAATATCTAACATTCTGGAATAAAATTCTTGGGACTCAATAGAACTTGGCATATATTCCCACGTCTTTGCTGGAGACGTGGATCTCTCTTGGAACACCACCAGGAAAAGGCTGTCAATTTTTGTATTTAAATACCTCCACAGATGGGGAACGAAGCTCTTCATATTTTGAGGGGACAACCCAATTTGTTCAGTGAATCTTTTTTTTTTTAATAGAGATTTTTGCTATAGGGTGTATGCACTCACCAGAGAGACAGAAAGTGAGAAATAACCCCCAAGGGGAGATGGCCACACCACAATCCCTTATCCTTTATGCTCCTCTTGGGATTTTGGGTATGCGCACACACTCACCTTCCAGAGAGGATGATCACACCCCAACCCCTTCTCCTCCGATCTGTCTTGGGATTTTGGGCATGCATGCACATTTGCCTGATGTGAGTTTTTTTTTTTTTTTTTTAAAGAATTATTTAACTTTATTTAATATTATTATCTTCCAGTTTGATTAATCTGAGATAGAGAGAGAGAAAGAGAAAGTGAGAAAACAAGCCATTAGATCCGGGACTTGTACTGTGATTGGCCATGTGGGAGAGTCCAGTGCCTTAACCACCATGCCACCTGCATGGAGGGTTCCCCCCCTCCCACCCCTGCATGAGTTTTTAAGCCACCAGGTCTAGGACTTGAACTGCGATTGATCGACTACATTGGAGTCCAGCGATGTAACCATTATGCCATCTGCTGTTCTCAGGCTGCAGGTATCTTAACCTCAACATCCTTTACACAATTCTAATATTTTTGTGCAGATCTTTTATGATGGAAAAAGACTTATTTTACAGATCTTACTTTATCTGACAAAATATTATGCAGCTATGTAGACTAGTTAAAGAATAATGACTCAGGAAAATGCCCTTAACACAAGTGGGAAAACAAAATATATAACCTCGGATAAAGAGCATAATTTAAAAAATATATATGGTAGAAAATGCAAAAATATGGTAATAATGGTTACTATAATTTTAACTTTCAATAAAATATTGCAATTTTTTATTTTATACTTTTTTATATTTTTATATATATATATTTTAAATTACAGTTAGTCCTCTCTTTAATGTAGTGTTTGGGGAGGGGATGTTATGTTAAAATTTCTGAATCTGGTTTCTGTCCCATACGTACCAAGTCCCTGTTCTCTGCTAGCAACCTGTAAGAATAATCCCCGGGCTCCCTGAAAAACCTGCCTCGAGGTACTGAAGTTCAAATACCCTAAAGAGTCATTCCATCTGGAACCATAAGGTTCTAAGTACCCATTGGTTCTGTCTAGTAGAACTTTCTGCTGTCCAATATCGTGGCCAATGGTCATGTATGACTACTGAGTACTTGACATGTGAATAGTGTGATTGCAAAACTGGATTTTTAATTTTCTTTTCTTTTCCACTCACAGGAGAGACAAAAAGTGAGAAATCCCCCCCCCCAGGGAAGATGGTTACACTGAAATCCCTCCTCCATTCTCGTCCCAGAATTTTGGGCACACACGCATGCACACACACACACACTCCAGAGTGAGTTTTAAGCTGCAGGGTCTAGGACTTGACCTGTGGTCAACTACATGGGAATCCAGCAATGTAACCATTACATCATCTGCTGGTCCCTTGTTTCATTTTTCAAAAGTTTATTTACTTATTCTATGAGCAAGAAAGGCAGAGCCAGTATCCTCAGCAGGGTCCTGATACCACACACTCCTGGCCTCAACCAGCCCTGGATTTTGGACAGGCTTGTGTACCCATAGTATTCAGAGAGGTCTCTGATGAAAAGCTAGAACCTTCCCATGTGTGTCAGCCACGTGGAGCTAGGTCACCATCTGACTCTCAAATTTTGTTCATTTTCAATAAAACATAAATAGCCACATGTGGTACAGATCCGGAACCTCTGACTTCATAGATTTGGAAATGAAGCCAAGGGAGAAGGGGGTTTGTGTCTGAATCAGGGTGAACCTTCTTCCCAAGGCTTGTTTCATGACTCTCATGGCCTTTGGAGTCTAACAGGGTCTGTAGTAAGGGAAACAAACCTGTTTGTAAAGGCCTTACTTTGTTTTTATGATGAAATATTATACAGCTGTTTAAGATAGTTGCAAGAGTATGACTTAGAGAAATACCCAGGTCTTTTTCTCTGCATTGTCTTTAAAATTTGCATTTTGTTTGACATGTGAAGCCTAGTCCAAAAGAGTAAAGGCAGGTGTTTCCTGACAGCAGTTGTCCAGCAGGGGTGACTGTGCTGGCCTATCCAGGGACAAGCATCATAGCCCAGGTATAAGTCTGGTCAAGGCAGACCTGGGCCATACATGTGTTCTGCAAGGCTTTGCTTGGCTTGGATGAAGAGAAAATATACTTGAGGACACTGTCGGGAGCCTGTGATTTGGAGTCAGGCCCAGGTTTGAATCCCAGTTTGACAACAAATTAGCCTTTGGTCAAGTCATGTGAGCTGCTTGAGGTACATCCTTAAAACAGAATAACAAGTCAGCTTAGAGGTGGCAGTGGGGCTCCTTGCCACATCCCCTCCTTTGACTAACGGTCTTTGTTTCTGGGCTCATAGGCCTCTATGAACTCAATCTCACCATGGATGGCCCTGCCACCACGGGAGCAGAAGTGACTATCTCGGCCAGCCTAGTGGCCAAGGACAACGGCAGCCTGGCCTTGCCTGCTGACACCCACCTCTACCGCTTCCACTGGATCCATACCCCGCTGGTGCTCACTGACAAGTTGGAGAAGGATCTCAGCTCAACCGTCCGTGTGGTCAGCAATGTACCTGGGGACTTCCCAGTCTCCGTCTGGGTCACTGCCGCTGACTGCTGGATGTGCCAGCCTGTGGCCAGGAGCTTCGTTGTCCTCCCCATCACAGGTGAGGATCCTTACTGTTTGCTAATTTGCCTCCAAACCCCTTGATCAGAGAAAAACATCCAACCTTCGTTATTAATCACGTGTATGTAAATTAGACACATGGGCTCCTTCTCTGTTACCAGTTGAATTAAAAGGGTGGGGGGAACGGCCTCTGGCATGGTTAAGGTGGCTGGATCCCACATGGCTGACTGCACAGTTCAAGTTCTGGACCCAGTGACTTGAAAAACACACTGGGCACACGTGTGTGCTTGCCCAAAATCCTGAAAGGAGGGAGATATGGAAGAGAAAGAATTTGTGGTGTAACGTGCCCCATGGAGATGCTTTTTTGCTTTCCTTCTCTCCCTCTCTGTCTCTCTGTCTCTCTCTGGCAAGCACATGCACACTCTGGCAAAAACAAACAAAAAGGATCAGAAAATGGTAATGCCCACTGCTGGCAGGGTTGTGCTGAAATAGACACAGAGAGCACATATTGCTACTGGGGGGCATACATTAATACAAAGCTTTGGAAAGCGGTTGGTTAATACGCATCGATGGTCATAAATTATTTTAGTTTTTGACTTAATTTTTCATTTACTTGTTCTTTCTATCCCCTCCTGCCTTCTCTCTCTCTCTCTTATTCTTTTTGTCAGATAAATATTTATGTATTCTATTTTATTTGTTATTCTCTTTTTTAATTTGACCAGAGAGAGAGAGAAAAGGAAAGTGAGAAATCAAACCACCAGGTCTAGGACTCAAACTAGGGTCACCCATGTGGGAGTCCAGCACCTCAACCACCATACCACCTGCTGGCCCTCTGTATTCTTCTTCTTCTTTTTTTTGCTATCAGGAAAGGTTTTTGCTATCAGGCGCTTGTGCTTGCCAGACAGGCAGAGAGAGATAGCAAGACAGAAAGCGAGAAATCACTGCCTGGGGGAGATGGTCACACCACAATCCCTTCTCCATTCTCCTCTCGGGATCTTGGGCATGCACACACAGGTGCCTGGTGTGAGTTTTAAGTTGCTGCGTCCAGGATTCGAACTTTAGTAAACTATGTGGGAGTCCAGCAATGTAACCATTACACCATCTGCTGATCCCTCTATTATTCTAAGAGTTGCCTACCTCTTCCTTTTCTGAAACATATAGTTTAATAAATATCTTTAGGAATAAACCTCCATTTGGTAATGCTTTATGAACTAAGATGTTCTTTGTAGTAGTGTTTATAATATAAGAGAATAGGCAAGCTAGGTATGCAACCATTAGAAGACCGGTTAAATATATTACAGTAATTTATACAGCTATTAATAATGACCCTTACAGTGAGTTTGCAATGTCATGGGTACTTATGCATGCTTGTGAAATTACATATAGAGAAAGCAAAGCACAGAATGGTATTATCAACCAGATAAATATATGTGGGTACTTAAACACACACACACATACTTTGTAACAATTCAAAATTGTCAACAATGGTAGTATTTCAATGATGGGTAGCTCCCTTTCTTTCTAATTCTGCTTTTGAGCATTTCCCAAATGAGATCTATTGAACATCTTACTTTCCACTATCGTGGGGGGAAAAATAATCAGCATTTAATTTTTAAAAAGCTTCTTTTAGAGAAGGAGACAAAAGACAGTGGCTTGACCCAGTGCAGCACGCTGGGCGTGGAGAGACGGTGAGTAGAGCTGCTAGTTTGTCAAGGTTCATCTAACATTTTGAAGTATTTCCCAAAAGTTTCTTTCTCAAAGTCTGCGTATTTCTTTCTGGTTCTGGGCATCCTCTGTGCCAGAAAGGTCAGGGTCCTGGTGAAAGGGGGCAAGAGCAAAACTGTGCAAGTGACACATACCTCAAGGCTTCGCCAGTGTCCATGTACAACGGGATGACTTAGACACCTCTGTGCTGCGCGGCCTCCTCTCTCCACCTGGCTCTGACATGAGGAGCTGCTCCTAGGCTCTACTCTCCCTCCACCGGACTCATCCTCCTGCTCTCTCTCTCTCCCAGAGTTTCTAGTGGGGAACCTCGTCGTCACCCAGAACACCTCCCTGCCCTGGCCCAGCTCCTACCTCACCAAGACAATCCTTAAAGTCTCTTTTCTACTCCACGACCCCAGCAACTTCTTCAAAACCGCCTCGTTTCTCTACAGCTGGGACTTCGGAGATGGGTATGTCTTTACTTAACTCCCTTGAAATTCTTCAATGGTGACTGGTGGCCTGTGACCCCTGTTGTCCCTTGCAATGCTCTGTGCTAGCTCACCGTTCTCCCCGCACTCCTCTCTCCAAACATTCCTTGAGCACTTGCTTGAGCACTTGAGCAGGCCTGGGGGTCCTGGGGACCCTGAATCCATCACTGGCCCTGCCTGGGAAGTATCCCAGCCTAGTAGGAAAGGCCACTTGGTGCCCAAAATAGCCCTTTAGGGAAGATTAATGTATGAGGGATTTTTCTCTTTTGACTTTGAAAGGCACCCCACAATTGGCAGATGTGGGGTGGAATTCAGGTGCCCCTGCTTCATTCTCTTTACCACCACTCCCTAAACAAGTCAGTCTGGAGGAGGAAGGTTAGGGAGTGGGGTCAGGCACTGAGTCCTGGCAGCCTGCAGGCACAGACTGGGAGCTCAGGAAGGGAGCTGCTGTTCACAGAGAAGCTCACTGGAGACCCCTGTTCCCTTATCCTTCCCAGCCTCCTGGCTGAGCTCTGCTTGATGAACCTGTAAGTCCCATGGGGTGAGAAGCAGTACATATGACGGTTACTGAGCTGAGCACATGGTGAGCTTAGAAACTGGTCTGTGGGAGCTCGTTTTAAGGAATTAATAATGCCCATGGGACCAGCCCCATGACCAGGTCAAGGGAGTGGGATCCCACATGGCTGACCATGGTTCACATCTCAACACCAGCCAGATGTGTGTGCATGTGTGCTCCAAATCCCAAGAGAATGAAGAAATGAAAAGGGATTGCAGCATGACCACACTCCAATGGGGACTGCTTTTTCCTCCTCTCTCTCTCTCTCTCTCCTGCTCTGTTCCTTTGGTGAGTGCATGTGCTCTCTGGCGGGGGCGGGGAGTCGTGGTTACATCATCGGACTCCCACATAGCTGACTGCGGTTCAAATTCCAGACAGTGGTTTGAAAATCATGCTGGGTGTGTGTGTGTGCATGTGCCCAAAGTTCTGGGAGAAAAAGGGATTATAGCATACCATCCCCTTTGGAGAGTGATTTCTCCTTTTCCTCTCATTGTCTCTCTTTCTCTGTTTTTCTCCAGTGAGCACATGTGCCCTATGGCAAAAACCTAAAAAAAATTAAAATAAAAAAGAGGGGGCTTCTACTAATAATAGCAAAAATAGTGTATAAACTAAACACATGAACACACTTACCTGGAAATGATCAAGATCCTATATGAAGTAAACTACAGAGCTTTAGGTATCAAAGATTTGAGTAAATAGGTAGACACACCGTATCTTGGTTGATATAATTAAGCTTTTAAAAATAGTAATAAAAAATAAAAAGAGGTTTTAGTAATATAACTGGTTACAAGACAAAGATTCATAGCTTTCTCATATAATGGCAATAAAAAAAATCTTGTAGGAGTTATAAAAACAGGGACCAGCAGTTGGTGTAATGGTAATGTCGCCGGACTCCTATGTAGTCGACTGCAGTTTGAATCCCGGACTCAGTGAGTTAAACTCACGCTAGGCAGGTGTACATGCGTGCCCGAGATCCTGAGAGGAGATGGAGGAGAAAGGATTGCAGGGGGTGATTCTCGCTTTCTGTCTTTCTGTCTCTTTTGCGCACGTGCCCTCTAGCAAAAACCTCTCCAAAAAACAAGAACAAAAACATAAAAACTGAGAATAAACTTAGCCTAAAATTGTAGAATTTATGTGAATAAAATTGCAAACTATACTGAGAGCCTTAAAAAGATTTGAAAAACAAAGAGAAAGTGTCTCAATAGTGTAAAAAATTTAAAATAGATTGGAGTCAGCAGGTGGCATGATGGTTAAGGGTGCTGGACTCCCACGTGACCGACTGTAGTTCGAGTCCCTAACCTGGCAGCTTGCTTTCTCACTTTCTCTCTCTCTCTCCTCCCTCTCTCTCTCTCTCTCTCTCTCTCTCTCTCTTTCTCTCTCTGGTCTCTCTCTCTCTCTCTCTCTCTCTCTGCCCTTCTCTGGTCAAATTAAAATAAATAAATAAAGTTAAATTAAAAAATAGAACATAAAAGCAGAATTATATTGAACAGGGGTAGAGAAAGATCTGGAAATGTATCTATAGCTATATTTATTAACTTTTTTCTGCAAGAAGGTGTGTGTGTTTGTGGACAGAGAGGCAGAAAGAGAGGGAAAGAAGAAATCACCCCCCATGGAATAGTCATGCTACAATCTCTTTTCCTCCATCTCTCTCTCCTTTTGCAGCAATAATAGACAGCTCAGTGGAATAGAATAGAAAATGTGGAACCTCACCTATTTATAGACACATTTAGTATATGATAACAGTGTTATTTTCAGCAGGTAAGAAAAGACTATTTAATAAATGGGTCTGGGGCAGTTACTTAACTATTTGGGAGAAAAGTGACTTGATCCCTAAGAAAAGCAAATTCATATAGATTAAAAAATGAAAAATGAGGGGCTGGCAGGTGGCATGGTGGTTAAAGGCGCTGGATTCCCACATGGCCGACCATGGTTCAAGTCTTTGTCCTGGCGGCTTGCTTTCTCACGTTCCCTTTCTCTCTCTGTCTCTCTCTCTGGTCAAATTAAAAAATAATAATAACAAATGGAATTAAATAAATAAATATTTTTTTAAAAAATGAAAAATGAGGGCCAGCCGGTCGCATGGTGGTTAAGGCCCTGGACACTCTCACATGGCTGACCACAGTTCAAGTCCCAGACCTGGTGGCTTTCTTTCTCACTTTCCTTCTCTCTGTGTGTCTGTCTTTCTCTGGTCAAATGAAAATGAATGAAAGGATTAATAAAATAAAAATAAATAATTATTTTTTTTAATGAAAAATGAAACATAGTGGGGCCCAGCAGGTGGTGTGGTAGGTAAGGCACTGGATTCCCAAAGGCTGACTGTGGTTCGAGTCCCAGATCTGGTGACTTGACACCAGGCACATGTGCATGCATGCCCAAAATCCCAGGAGGAGAAAGAGAAGAGATTGTGGCTTGACCATCCCTCTGAAAGGTGATTTCTCACTTTCTCTCTCTCTGTCAGAGTTAGATTGAAATGTAGGTGATTACCTGCAATTAGATAATTTGAAAATGGGAGAGGCTTTTCTAAGAATAAAAACAAAGATGGAAACTTCGAAAAACTTGCTAGATTGGTATCACCATTAAAAATTTAGAGACCAGGGGGACCAGCAGTTAGCGTAATGGCTATGTCGCTGGACTCCCACGTAGTCGACCATGGTTCGCGTCCCGGACCCGGTGGCTTAAAACTCACGCCAGGCGCGTGTGTGTGCGTGCCCAAGATCCCGAGAGGAGAATGGAGGAGAAGGGATGGTGGCATGACCATCCCCCCTGGGGGTGATTTCTCGCTTTCGTGCTCTCTGTCTCTCTCTTGTCTGTCTGGCGAGCACACACGCCCTATAGCGAAAACCTCTCCAAAAAAAAAAAAAAATTTAGAGACCAGCAGATGGCATAATGGCTATGTCACTGGATTCCCATGTAGTTGACCCTGGTTCGAGTCCTGGACCCGATGGCTTAAACTCACGCTGGGCATGTGTGCATGTATGCCCAAGATCCCAAGAGGAGAGGGAGGAGAAGGGTTTCCGGTGTGGCCATCCCCCACCCCCCATTCCTGGTGGGGTGATTTCTTACTTTCTGTTTCTGTCTTTCTGGTGAGTGCATGCACCCTGTAGCAGAAAAACCTCTCCAAACATATATATTTATATAAAAGAGGTCAAAAGATTAGGTTTAATTGGGAGGAAAATATTTGACAGATACACAATGAGTGAAGGTTTAATACTTCATATAGTGGGACCAGCAGATGGTGTAGTGGTTATGTTGTTGAACTCCCACAGAGTCAACAGCGGTTTGAGTCCCAGATGTGGCAACTTAAAACTCACATCAGGCACATGTGCATGCATGCCCAAAATCCCAAGAGGAGAATGGAAGAGAAAGGATTGCAGCATGGCTATCCTCCCTGGGGAGTGATTTTTTGCTTTCTGTCTCTTCTGTCTCACTTTGGCAAGTGCATGTGCCTTATAGCAAAAATCTTTAAAAAAAAAATACTTCATACACTAAGAGTATGTGTGATCAATCAGAACAAAGATTTTTTCTTTTTAAAAATATTTATTTATTTAATTCCATTTATTATTATGATTTTTTAGTTTGACCAGAGAGAGACAGAGAAACAGAAAGTGAGAAATCACCCCCCAGCAAGCCACTAGCTCCGGGATTCAAACCACGGTTGGCTATGTGAGAATCCAGCACCTTTAACCACCACACCACCTGCTGGCCCCTCTTATTCTTTTCTTTAAACGTTCACTTATTTGTTTCATAAGAGAGAGGGAGAGAAAGAGAGAGAGAGAGAGATAGAGACAAGTACTACGGGCCAGGTCACCGCATCGCCATCCACCCCAGTCAACTTCCTCCAGCCTGGATCACAGCATCTGCAGGCAGCCAGCAAGTAGAGAGAGACCCTAGGACTCAGTCCTGGGATCTTCTCAAGTTGGCCCAGGTGTGTTACCACTGCACTACCTCCTGGCCCTAGCAAAGGTTTTCTTGCTTATTATCAGACTTCCATTTGGAATGATATGAGTAGCTTCAGAGAAAAAGCATAATATCACACACTTCGTGTATTATATCACACTCTGTGTTGGATATATATGATTCTCCCTACTTCACAGATGAGAAAAGTAAGACTTAGGGAATCAGCAGTTAGCGTAATGGCTATGTCGCTGGCCTACCACATAGTCGACCACGGTTCACATCCTGGACCCGGTGGCTTAGAACTCACGCCAGGTGCGTGTGCGTGCGTGCCCAAGATCCCGAGAGGAGAATGGAGGACAAGGGATTGCGGCATGACCATCCTCCCTGGGGGGTGATTTCTTGCTTTCTGTCTCTCTGTCTCTCTCTGTCTGTTTGGCGAGCACACACGCCCTATAGCGAAAACCTCTCAAAAAAAAAAAAAAAAAAAAGAAAAGAAAAGTAAGGCTTACAGTTAAATAGATAGGAAGTGCAGAGCAGAGATTGATAACCAGCATATCTTAAGTGCAGAGTTCATGCTCCTACCCTCCCCAGGCTGTCTCTGTCTCAATGTGAGCCCTATCCCAGACTCCTGCCTGGCGTGGGGTGGGCAGAACACCTGTTGCTGGGAGTTACAATCCCACCTGTAACTTAGAAGCACAAAGACAGCCAGCAGCTACTTTCCCTAAGCACAGAGTGGGCCCTGCCAATTCTCCAGCAGTGACTGTGGGGCAGTGCAACCCAGGATTTGCACAGCTGGCATCGGCGAAGGCATTGAGTGGTTGGCATTAAACCCTTGTGTGATTCTGACAGGCTGCAGAACTGAGAGTCCCTCCAGCTGTACTTGCACAGCAGGAGACTTGGGCTGTTCCAGGATGCCTCTTGGAGGACACAGAACCTCTCACCTGCATGAGAGCCCCACTTGGAGAGGAGAGGAAAGAATATGGGACCTTTCTTGCCCTCCTTGGTGTTAGTTTTCCCTTCTGTAAAATGGGCCAGTTGAACTCAAGCCTTGGCTGGCTCTGGAGCTGTTGTTGCAATGACAGGTGTTCTCACTGGTAGCCAGGAGTGTCACTATACAGAAACCTCTGATGCTAACAAGTCACATGAGTCACTTCTAAGCTATAGGAACTTTCTCTATCTCCTCCTATCTCCTCCCTGCCACTTCACAGGACCCAGATGGTGACAGAAGACTCTGTGGTCTATTATAACTATTCAATCATTGGAACCTTCACTGTGAAGCTCAAAGTGGTGGCTGAGTGGGAGCAAGCAAAGCCAGATGCTATGAAAGGTGTCGTGCAGAAGACCGGTGACTTCTCAGCCTCACTGAAGCTGCAGGGTAGGTTTCAGCCTGGCTGGTATAGACTGAGCATCTGGCCCTGCAGAAAGCCCCAGGGACTCTGCAAATCAGAGTGGCTCAGGCTGGCACTGGGCTGTTGGGATGCACACCTGTCTTTTTGTGTCCTGCCATCCTCTGGGCAGTCTCTATCACTATCCCCACCTCAGAGAGGGCACTGCAGGCCACAGAGGATGTTCTATACTTGTCCAGTGGCAGTGTTAGCCTTTGAACCTCAGCTTGCCCTAACCCAGAGCCCAAGCCTATGACCAGATACCAGTTGTGTGTTGCTGGTGTGCACTGTCCCTTGTTCCCTGGTCATATCAACCTGTGGTCAAAGCTCATTCCAACAGGATGGAGACCTCAGTCAACAGGGTGGAGACCTCAGGTATGGAGGGAATGCCTGATCCTGTCCCCTCCTGGCTTTGGTAAGAGGCAGTATTTGGACATCTATGGCCATTTCTTTGTTCTTGCTGATGGGGTGCCGCTTTCCACACATGGCACAGATGACAGCTTGGTGACAGTGGGCCGGATAGTCTGCCTTAGCCTGCTTTCTGCAACTTATTCCCTCTGAACTGGGGAGAACAGGACCTAGGGGCCCTGGACAGACATACAACTCTCTCCTGGAAGAGAGACAAGAAGAGGACAGGGTGGTGGTCACACAGCTGGGCCTGGAAGCCCATGACAGCAGTCTAATGGAGTTCACTCTGCTTTACAGAAACTCTTCGAGGCATCCAAGTCTTGGGACCCACCCTAATTCAGACCTTCCAAAAGATGACAGTGACCTTGAACTTCCTGGGGAGGTGAGTGAACCCCAGTGTGCTGTGCAGGTGCCCCATGGACCCTGCTCACATATTCCAGCAGATGTTCCTGAGCCAATGTGGGGGCTCATGGAAGGACAGTGCCACTTGCCCTATGGCCATGCCAGGTGAGAGCCGTGGGGATAGAGGGAGGGAGGGTCTCAGGGAGGGAGGATAGGCCTTTTGGGCTTCCTATAGCATAAGGATTGAGGCAAAGGTAAGGGAGCCATGCCATGGTGAGAGCCGTGGGGATAGCTCCATTCCCAGGGTCTCAGGGAGGGAGGATAGGCCTTTTGGGCTTCCTGTAGCATAAGGATTGAGGCAAAGGTAAGGGAGGGTCCCCTCCTGTGAATAGCATTCTGTGTGTGATATGAGTCTGTCTCCCAGGTCCCTGGCCTGCCTTTGCCTTTGTGGTTCTGTTGCCCTGGAGCTCCTTTCCCTCCCCCTCATATGCTCCTCATCCTCCAAAGCCTCTTCTACCCCTTGGCCTGCACACGGAAGCTTGCAGCAGCCAGCAGAGGTGGTCTAGTCTGCTTTGAACTAGGCACTGTTCTGAAAGCTGGAGAGACAAAGGTAGAAGAGATAAAGCCATTACTTCAAGGGTTCATTGTGCAGGATGGGGCACCCTGCAAGACCTGAAAGCAGATGATCCCAGGGGATTCTCCTGGGAAAGCCTGATTTGGTAGACTTCAGGCCAGAATCTTCATCAGAGTGGCATTAGGCTGAGTTTTTAGTAAGCAAGGAGTTGCAGATGCTGGGTGTATTCTTCTCAGAAGGGCACCATTCGGATGCATAGAGCTGCAGAGGTCAGGGCCCAGCCCTTGAAGGTCTCTTGTCCCCACACTGGGACATATCAGAGGGATGCAAGGCCAGATAGAGTGAAGGAGGCCAAGGAAAGAGGAGGACAAGATAATTAAGAGATCAGAGGGGCTTCTAGATCTTTCTGGGGGCATTGCAGGAGCTTAGTGTGGGAAGAATAAGAAGCTGTCTGGGTTTGGTAGAGCTGATTTGGGGTGGTGCAAATGTGTGTCACCCAGGCCATGGGATTGTGTGAAGTTAGAGTATTTGTTCAGCATTCCTTGGAATGCCCTGTGTTTCCACCTCTGACCTATACTGTGGCATGCAGATAACCCAAAATGCCCTCACCCTTCCTAACCTTCCCAAAGTGTACTTATCCTTTCAAATCCTTCTTTGACACCCCACCCTCCAGAAAGCCTTCTCCAACACCCTCATGAAGAATGCACAGATCATGCCCCCCTGCTTCCATAGCACAACACTTGTACAATTGGAGCCCTCATTTTGCCTCCCGTTAGCCATTCGTGCATGTCTGTTTTCTTTACTAGCCTGGAATCCCCATGGGTCTGGGCTATCTCTTCTGCCAGCATTGTGTTCCCTGATCTGGAATGTGTGAAACTGAGGCCATGGCAGTGTGGTGCCCCACCATGGGAAGGACATAGGAGTTCATACCCACCTGGCCTTCCTTGGACTTGGGACTTGTTCTGTGCTCAATATTCTTTGCTATGCCATTTCTGAAAGACTGTCTCCATTTCTCTGCAGCCCCCCTCTGACTGTCTGCTGGCGTCTCAAGCCTGAATGCCTCCCACTGGAGGAAGGTGAATGCCACCCTGTGTCTGTGGCCAGCACAGAATACAACCTGACCCACATCTTCAGGGACCCTGGGGACTACTGCTTCAGCATCCGGGCTGAGAATGTCATCAGCAAGACCCATCAGTACCACCGGATCCAGGTGTGGCCGTCCAGTAAGTGACATCTCCTTGCCTTCCAGTGCTACACAGATGGCGATAGACCATTGGCCCTGCCATGACCATTAATATGCTCCTACCAACCAAGCCTACCAAGGCCAGCAACAACCAACCTCACAGAAACTAACACCATCAATTACTCTACTACGCCAGCAACAGCCAACACAATGTTGGCTAATGCTGTCAATGCCGACACCACCGAACTACAAATACCATCAACAACCAGTTCTACCCACCCTGATTCTGCCACTCATCAGTTCTACCAAGACCACCATCAACACCAGTACCACTAAAGTAACAACCAACTCAGCCACCACCATTACCACACTCACTACTAATAATTCTTCCAGAGCTATTATAGTTACTACTAACAATTCAACCAACGTTGCTACTGAACCACCTCAGTAAGCCCTGTGCTCAACAGATGCCCAACGGGTTCTGATGCCCACCTTTCATGTTGCAAAAGGGGAAACTAAGGCTCAGGATATCAGCCTGAAAAATAAGCCCAGGCTTTCAGGCTCCTGGTCTAGTGTTCTTCTCAGGGGGAGGAGGGTGTGGGAGTTCTTCCCAGTGCCCTTGAGCTCATATCAAACCCTGCCCACTGTATCTGCTCTCAAGGCTGGCCCTGTGGTGCACCTGATGCTGTCACTGTCTCTGCTGTACCCTCAGTCCTTTTTTTTTCTTTTTAAGAATCATTTTATTTCATTTTATTCACTTGTTTTAATTTGGCCAGAGAGAGAGAGAGAGAGAGAGAGAGAGAAAGTGAGAAAGCAAGCTGCCAGGTTCAGGACTCAGACCATGGTTGGCCATGTGAGAGTCCAGAGCCCCCAACCACCATGCTACCTGCTGACCCCCTCAGTCCCTCTTTGAGCCCCTGAGCAGATGCTGTGCTCCACCTGTGGTGGATGTTGTGGGTATCACTGGGGGCACTGAGTCCTGCAGCCCCCCAGGCCCCCTGAATTATGTGGAGAAGACAGTAGTACAGGTATTCACTGCTGCCTGTTTCTGGGAAACAGATGCTCATGGCAGAGGGTAAGGCAAGAATGAGAGGGAATCTACACTTCCTGATTACCCACAGCATGCCAGGCCTTGCCACACCCCTCACAGCTCATGTCCACTGCAGTGTGCTGGGTCAGCAATAGCATCAGGTAGTCTAGTCAGAGTCAGGATTTGAACCCAGGATTGTCTGACTATGGACAGTGGGCTCTTTCTGCTCTGAACTGCCATTTCATAGCAATAGGCTCAGTGGGTGAGCCTGGAGCTGCTGGAAGGTAGGAATCTGTGGCAGATGTTATAGTGCTTCTTGGGAGTTCTCACAACACGGATTTTCTTCCCCAGAGTTTGTCACTCAAGAGCAAAGAGGAAGCTGCCATCTCTTTTATGGCTTTGACTCAGGAGTCAAACATCAGCATTCCCAGGGTTCAACACCAGCAATTCCTGCCTCCTCCTGTACACCAGGAGCTAGTCACAGAGTCCAGCTCACAGTCAAGGAGTGGGGAATTTAGCTGCCTCTCTCAGAAGTTACTCTCAAGTATTAGGCTGTCAGGAAAGTCAGAGCGTGTTTTGCTATGCACAAATACATCAGGACTTTTCCAACTACCCAATAACTTGTGGACATATTTTTAAATCCTCACACATTCCAACATAGATTTTGTGTCTTCCTGGGTTTGCTTGTTGGGGTTACCTCATTGGGATGAGTATGCGTAAGAGAAAAAAAATCATGGGTAGGTGGCCAGAAGGTGGCATGGTGGTTGAAGTGCTGGACTCTCACATGGCCAACTGCAGTCCCAGACCTGGAGGCTTGCTTTCTCCCTTTCTTTCTCTCTCTGGTGAGCACCTGTGCCCTTATTATTACTAAATAATAATAAATAAAATTAAATACTTCTTTTTTTTTTTAAAAAAGAAGATATCTCTGCCTTGCCGTGCCGTAACGTGAGGACGCAGGAGAAAGATCCATCTACAAGCCAGGAACACG